CCGGGCTGGACTCCGCTTCGTCCACGGTGAAAGCCGATCCGGTGATCCACAGCGCAAAGTTGTAGTATTTCCTCAGCAACCAGCGCGGATCAGCTCCAGGCATGACGAAGCAGATATCGTCCTCTTTTGGAAGGCCAACCAAAGTAGTTACAGCGAGATACTACAGCGAGAATAAAAGTTACGCCTTCTTTCTTTGCGTGAACATTTGGGCGGCGTAATGCTAATCTTCCCACATCGTGACGTAGACATGTGGGGGCGTGTTAGAACGAGCCGTTTTAGGTAGGCGTTATTCTTTTATAAAGAATATCTCTTTGGATTTGAGACTTTAGTCTTTGCAACTTTACAGATCTTCTTTATGCACCAAGAGCTTGTAACACTCCAAAGAGAAAGGAAAAATTGAAATCGCATCATATGACCCCTTTAAAGTCTATTCCTGCATATCAGGTGTGAACGCCACACCAAAACCAGTAACCATGCAGAAAGCCTCTTCATCTCATCTGATTCTCATGTGGATGAGAGGTTGAATCTGAGCGTCTGTTTGTTCTGCGCTGCCCTGATTCTCTCAGACACAGAGTTTAATCAGCTCCCTCATTCGGCTCGTCTCTGATGGTCATTGTGTGTGTGCGATGGCCCTGAAGACCCAATCATCTGTTCCCTTTGTGCTCGCTTTGGCCATTTTACTGTATTTTAAAGGAAGAGTTCAGCCAAAAATGAAAATGTTCTCACCCTCAGGCCATCATGACATGTAGATGAGTTTGTTTCTTCATCAGGTTTGGAGAAATGTAGCATTGCATCAGTGTCTCAGCAATGGATGCTCTGCAGTGAATGGGTGCCGTCAGAATGAGAGTCCAAACAGCTGATAAAAACATTACAATAATCGCGCGCGCGCGCGCACGCACGCACGCACGCACGCACACACACACACACACACCTCACTCACACACACACACACACACACACACACGGTCAGTGTTGCGGGTCTGAAGCCGCTCTTGTCGCCTCTAATCTCGGCGCTTTGTCCGGTGGATTTACTGCGGCACCGCTCGGTCAACACCACATCAGCACTTCTAAAGTCCACTCACACACACACACAGCTGGTAGAGTATTATGCTGGCTGTGTGTGTGAGAGAGAGTGTGTGTGTGTGTGAGAGAGAGAGTGTGTGTGAGAGAGAGTGTGTGTGTGAGAGAGAGTGCGTGTGTGTGTGTGTGTGTGTGTCTGTGAGAGAGAGTGTGTGTGTGAGAGAGAGTGCGTGTGTGTGTGTGTGTGTGTGTCTGTGAGAGAGAGTGTGTGTGTGAGAGAGAGTGCGTGTGTGTGTGTGTGTGTGTGTCTGTGAGAGAGAGTGTGTGTGTGAGAGAGAGTGCGTGTGTGTGTGTGTGTGTGTGTCTGTGAGAGAGAGTGTGTGTGTGAGAGAGAGTGCGTGTGTGTGTGTGTGTGTGTGTCTGTGAGAGAGAGTGTGTGTGTGAGAGAGAGTGCGTGTGTGTGTGTGTGTGTGTGTCTGTGAGAGAGAGTGTGTGTGTGAGAGAGAGTGCGTGTGTGTGTGTGTGTGTGTGTCTGTGAGAGAGAGTGTGTGTGTGAGAGAGAGTGCGTGTGTGTGTGTGTGTGTGTGTCTGTGAGAGAGAGTGTGTGTGTGAGAGAGAGTGCGTGTGTGTGTGTGTGTGTGTGTCTGTGAGAGAGAGTGTGTGTGTGAGAGAGAGTGCGTGTGTGTGTGTGTGTGTGTGTCTGTGAGAGAGAGTGTGTGTGTGAGAGAGAGTGCGTGTGTGTGTGTGTGTGTGTGTCTGTGAGAGAGAGTGTGTGTGTGAGAGAGAGTGCGTGTGTGTGTGTGTGTGTGTGTCTGTGAGAGAGAGTGTGTGTGTGAGAGAGAGTGCGTGTGTGTGTGTGTGTGTGTGTCTGTGAGAGAGAGTGTGTGTGTGAGAGAGAGTGCGTGTGTGTGTGTGTGTGTGTGTCTGTGAGAGAGAGTGTGTGTGTGAGAGAGAGTGCGTGTGTGTGTGTGTGTGTGTGTCTGTGAGAGAGAGTGTGTGTGTGAGAGAGAGTGCGTGTGTGTGTGTGTGTGTGTGTCTGTGAGAGAGAGTGTGTGTGTGAGAGAGAGTGCGTGTGTGTGTGTGTGTGTGTGTCTGTGAGAGAGAGTGTGTGTGTGAGAGAGAGTGCGTGTGTGTGTGTGTGTGTGTGTCTGTGAGAGAGAGTGTGTGTGTGAGAGAGAGTGCGTGTGTGTGTGTGTGTGTGTGTCTGTGAGAGAGAGTGTGTGTGTGAGAGAGAGTGCGTGTGTGTGTGTGTGTGTGTGTCTGTGAGAGAGAGTGTGTGTGTGAGAGAGAGTGCGTGTGTGTGTGTGTGTGTGTGTCTGTGAGAGAGAGTGTGTGTGTGAGAGAGAGTGCGTGTGTGTGTGTGTGTGTGTGTCTGTGAGAGAGAGTGTGTGTGTGAGAGAGAGTGCGTGTGTGTGTGTGTGTGTGTGTGTGTGTGTGTGTGCGCGTGAGCGCTCATTCATGAAATTAGAGCCTGAACCGCTCTGACACTTGAAATAAAGTATTTTAAACTGCAAAAATTATAAACTGACGCAAAAATGAAGCCGGCTTCAGCTGTTTTACATCCGTGGTTCTGAACAGGCGACTTAAAATAGTCTGGGCTTTTCTGATGGCTCACAAAACAACGCAATTAAAAGATGCACCTGAACATAATCATGCAGAGCTAAAAACAGCACACTGAACAGATTTATCAACATCCAAAAGAGAGGAGAAAACCATTGTTTATGACTATAAAACCAGCCTGAATAAGAGCTCTTCATTGAAATATTAGTGCATTATAATTAATAATACTTGTACTGCTAGGTTTTTTAAGTTAGGTAGATTTTTTTTTTACAGTGTAGCCTAATAAAAAAATCCCAGTAATTGATTTTAAAATAATTTTTGCTCACTTTTTATTTCCGCCACAGAATAAACGAACACAAAACAGCAATTCTGACTTTACATCTCACAATTCAGAGTTTGTTTTAATAAAAAATGTAATTGCAACTTTTTTCGAGTTAATATCTCACAATTCTGAATTTATTTATTTTGCAATTTTGACTTTGTTTTCTCAGAATTGCGAGTTTATATCTTAAAATGTAGAGTTTATGCTATCAACAATTCTCAGAATTACAAGAAAAAAGTCAGAATTGTGAGATAAAAGGTCACAATTACAGCTGTGCCTTGACTGGACTACTATATGGTTGTGTCACATAATACTGCATAACTCATGGATGTGGCTGTTCTGAATCCAGATAACAACGGCACACACTCATTTAACCACAGACAGTCTGGTTTGTGCCATGAAAAAACACCTCAATCCCCTGACAGCCAATCAGGAGCCAGCCAATCCCCTGACAGCCAATCAGCACAGAGCTGATCACACAACAAGCATTTATTTACAAACAAGCCTTGTGTTTTAATACAGCTGAGATCAATGTCCAAACAGGTACGTTCATGCGTCGAAATAAAGAATGCAAAAGAAGTGCTGAACGGGGTATTAGGTTTCTAGTCTCGGTGCTCTTTGGGTGCAAGGGATGATTCAACTCGTAAGAATAGTGCCTTGGACTACCATTATTCGTACGTTCATGCAATTTACACAAAGGAAAATAGTTATTATTGTTCAAGTGTGCGCTCAAATCTGAGAGTTCTTGAAAAAAAAAAGTAAAATAATAACACGATGCCCAGTGGATTATGGTCATATTCAATCCACTGGCTCTCATGAGAATGAGATTTCCACAGTTGATGGTCCCTCTGGTGCAGCTGCCTCACAGGGTGCCGGTCCACCTGGCGCAGCTCCGCAGCAGAGCTCAGAGGATCTCCAGAGACCAGCGCTGATTCAGTTTGTCTGCGTGGAATTCGTTCAGAATAATCTGGTGTTTGTCGAACTGTTGACCTCCTGCAGAGAAACAGAGAGAGATCATAGAAAGGAAAACACTGTCATGATTTTTAGCACTTTTTTTTTTTTTTGCATAAAGTGCTTAAATGTCACAATGCAAAAGAAAATAATAATGGCTCATCAAATATGCTTAGTTTTCTTTATGCAAAACATTCTCATCCAGCAGGTGGCGCTGCAGGCTCATGCTGCCAAACACAACTTTAACATCAGTCCTGTGGATTCATGAGGAGGCTTTGTTTTTCCTCACTGGACTCTTTAAGAAAACACTTAATGAGTTTATGTCACAAGTTATGCTGTGTCTCCATAAGGCTGTTTAAGGAATGTTCTGACTCAAATACAACTCAAACATAATTACTGCAGACAATTAATTAACGTCTCATTCCCTGGTTTGCAAAAACAAACGTGTTTACACTAAAACTCTTATAATGAAGTGAAGTCTATGAGGAAAGACATTTGAAAGCCTTAATAGCGTACATTTAACCTTTAGGATTGTTTATTTTTTATTTTTTTTGTAATCCAAACTTTTGTTTTGTGTAATGGAAGAGTTTACTGATCCTTTAGACTTTTTTGTATAATTGAACAGTTTGTTGAGCCTTTAGAATTATTTATTTATTTTTTAATCTATTTCTTGGTTCAAACTTCAGAAGATTGTTTGATTACAAAATATAAAAAAAAGTGTGTGTTTTATGTTTTGTATCACATTTGCTCCATCAGGCTTTTATGGCTCGTATAGTCTGATACAGATCTTTATAACAGTACAGTTCAGCAGATACTGATATAAAGTGATCTAAATATC